GACTAATATCTCTCCATGCATCACTTTGGCCACGTCGAAGTCTTGACCATTTACAAAGCACCAAATCAACGGAGCACGGGGCCCATTGACCTCTGTAGTACTGTGAGATGGAATCAAGCGGTTGTTTATGAGGTACAACCAGCACTTCCCTTCAAAGGTGAGTGTTGAGGAGTGAAACTTCTCCCCATAGTCCATCCAGACCACTTCTTTCCCGGGCGCACAAATTGTCTCAAAGAATCGCGCCCATTTTTCGTGCGTTGGGTTGCGGCCGTATTCATAGAAGTCATCATAACCAACTGGAGGTGGAGGCAGCTGGTAGGTCGTCTGTATCGCCTCAACAGAAGCATTCACTTCCCTTCGGTGCACCGTGACTACTCCATTATCATGCTCCGGCACATTCGCATAAAACTCCCGCACAACCATTGCATTGCCCTCACCGGGCTCATTGATGAATGTGTGCAACCCCCGCCTTACCAACTCCTCGTACATGTGAGGGCAGTGTCTCTGGAGCTGTCTGATGTTAATACCTCTCTCCGGAATTGGTGTTTTACGAGCCTTTTTCGCAAAGCAGGCCTGAGCATTGGCCGAAACAAATTTGGAACTATCAAAGGAGTGTGCAGGTGCAGCCCCTCGTGACCTAGATGAACCAGCCTGGATGCTCAATGAGGCCCCTTTGGTGCGTCGTTTGCTAGATGGAGTCATGATGCCTGCAAAACGGAGACACATTAGCACAGCCCAACAGAAATTTTGTGACTCAATGCGGTTACTCAGACTTCACACGCATAAGAGGTCACAAACTATATAATAACGATCATTGGGACCTTTCCACAAACACCTTGTGGGCATTAGGCCTTCACAATCCCTTTTTACACTTTTTAGAACAAGAATCACTCACTTACACTCACCAACATCACATATCAAGTGGGATTCCACCCCACACTTATCATCCACCAACACTACAACATCTTGCACCAATTTCTCTACAAAATTTAAGTACAACTACTACAACATAGGCATAAGAATATAACCAAAAAAAATCTGAAAAATAGAGAGAGAATAAAAAAAGAGAAGAAACAAACTAGGGCTCATACCTGTGGTGAAGGGGAATGGGGAAGATGCTAGTGAACTCGGGGGGGTCGTGAGACGGGGGACGGGATGGTGTGGGATTTGGGAGTGTTTGGGGGAAGGTTTTGTTTTTGTTTGAGTTGGAATGGGGGAGACGAAGGGTAGGGGTTTTCTTTTGTTGAATGGGGGTTCAGGTACGGGGGGTGGGCAGTTATTAGATGGGGGCAAGGGGTAATTTTAGTCTAAAGAATAAACAAAATAAAAAAAATGAAAAACTTAAAATACACTTGAAAAATGCCGGATTTTTTTACGGAACTAGCGCGAGCGCGCTAGATTTAGCGCGTCCAATACAGAACCCAAGAGCTACTAGCGCGTCCAGATGCGCGTTTAGTAGCGCGTTCAACAGCGCGACCAGGTGCGCGGCCAAGGCAGAAACTTTGCAGTTTAGCGCATCCAGTAGCGCGGGCGCGTACTTGGGCGATTTGTTTCTTCAACTTTTCACCTGTTCTTACCCCGTTGGATGGCCTTAGCACCTGCCCTTTGTCACCTGCATTGGTTAGCTCTTCCTAAAATACAAAATTAACACTACTACTATCGTTGGGTTGCCTCCCAACCAGCGCCTTATTTAACGTCGTGGCACGACGGTTACAACAATTCAATGGGTAGCCTCCCATCTAGCGCCTGATTTAACGTTGCGGCACGACTCAACATGTTCTCAAGTATCCGTCAAGTCCACCGAGGTCTTGTGACGTGCAAAGTCACCACCCCAGTAATGTTTTATCCTTTGACCATTCACCAAGAAAGTATCAATTGAACTCATATCCCGCAACTCCACAGCTCCATGAGGATTCACACTTACCACAACAAAAGGGCCTGACCAACGAGATTTAAGCTTTCCTGGAAAAAGCTTCAACCTCAAATTGAACAAAAGAACTTCTTGCCCTGGCTCAAACTCTCGATGTTGGATGTGCTTGTCATGCCACCTTTTAGTCTTCTCTTTATACAATTTGGCATTTTCATATGCGTGCAAACGAAACTCATCAAGCTCGTTGAGTTGCAGCAACCTCATCTCGCCAGCCATGTCCCTACCCATATTCAGCTTTTTAATTGCCCAATAGGCCTTGTGTTCAAGTTCGACGGGCAAGTGACATGCCTTCCCATAAACTAACTTATACGGAGAAGCGCCTATGGGAGTTTTGTATGCAGTTCGATATGCCCACAATGCGTCGTCTAACTTCCCTGCCCAGTCTTTTCTATTTGCACTCACTGTTTTCTCAAGAATCCGTTTTACCTCTTTGTTTGACACTTCCACTTGACCACTCATCTGGGGGTGATAGGCAGTGGAAACTTTGTGCTTGTCTCCGTACTTTGCAAGAACATTATTCAGCAGTTTGTTGCAGAAATGCGTTCCTCCATCACTGATCAACACTCTGGGAGTTCCAAAGCGTGTGAAGATGTGCTTCTTAACAAAGCTTACCACCACCTTTGCATCATTAGTAGGAAGAGCAATGGCCTCCACCCACTTAGACACATAATCGACTGCCACCAAGATGTACCTATGACCATTGGAGTACGGAAACGATCCCACGAAGTCAATTCCCCAAACATCAAAAAGCTCCACTACCAGAATGTTTTGCAGCGGCATCTCGTGCTTCTTTGTGATCGTTCCTGTTCTTTGGAACCTGTCACACATTTTAACAAAGGTGTGTGCATCCCTAAACAATTTTGGCCAATAGAAACCTGATTGTAGCACTTTTTGGGCGGTCATGTCTCCACCATGATGACCTCTGTATGGCGAGGCGTGACAGCTATGAAGTATGGCATTCATCTCCTCCTCAGGAACACATCTCCGCACCAACTGATTTGCACAAAGACTGTATAAGAATGGCTCATCCCACATATAAAGCCTCACATCATCCAGGAACCTTCTTCTATTATCGGGTGTCAATTCTGGTGGTGTCACCCCGCTTACAATAAAGTTCACATAATCTACATACCACGGGGTTGTGCTTGAGGTGATTGCCAATATACTCATCAGTGAATGTTTCTTTGATTGCACCCCCTTCAGCTACATGGTTCCGATTTTCTAATCTGGACAAGTGATCAGCCACTTAATTCTCTGTTCCTTTGTGATCTTGGATCTCTAAGTCAAACTCTTGCAAGAGGAGGACCCACTGAATCAATCTCGGCTTGGCGTCTTTCTTCTCAGACAGGTATCTGATAGCTGAATGATCTGTGTAGACGATGACTTTGGTCCCTACTAGATATGGCCTGAACTTGTCAAACGCCCACACCACGGCAAGCAACTCTTTTTCAGTGTCTGTATAGTTCATCTGAGCTGGATTCAGAGTTTTGCTCGCATAGTAGATGGAGTGGAAGATTTTATTTCTCCTTTGCCCCAAAACAGCTCCAATAGCCAAGTCACTCGCATCGCACATCAACTCAAATGGATGCACCCAATCCGGAGCAATTATGATTGGTGCAGTCACCAACCTTCCCTTCAGCTCCTCAAATGCCTTTAGATAGGCAGCATCAAATTTGAAGGCGACATCCTTCTCAAGCAACCTGCACAAGGGAGAGGAAATTTTCGAGAAATCTTTAATGAAACGACGATAAAACCTGCATGGCCCAAGAAACTGCGAATGCCTTTGACAGATATCGGTGGGGGAAAATTTTCAATCGCTTCCACCTTTTGCCTTGTCCACCTGCAAACCATCTTTGGATACCTTGTGCCCCAAAACTAACTTAGTTTCTTCACACCTAGCAAGTATGAAATCAAGGTTCACCAAGCAGTAATCAAAAGAACATCCAAACACAAAAAAATCATCCATGAACACTTCCACAAACCTCTCAACCATGTCAGTAAAAATGGCTATCATACACGTTTGAAAAGTCGCAGGTACATTACAAAGACCGAAGGGCATTCTCTTGAACACATACATGCCATAAGGACACGTAAATGTGGTCTTCTCTTGGTCCTCTAGGGCTATAGCAATCTGATTATACCCCGAGTAACCATCTAAGAAGCAGTAGTACTCCTTGCCAGCTAATCTATCGAGCATTTGGTCAATAAAGGGGAGGGGAAAGTGGTCCCTCTGGGTGGCATTGTTCAATTTTCTATAATCAATGCAAATTCTCCACCTGGTGACAGTTCTTGTAGGGATTAAATCATTATTCTCATTAACTACTACAGTCATCCCCCCTTTCTTGGGTACACATTGAATGGGGCTTACCCATTTGTTGTCTGAGATAGGAAATACAATACCTGCATCAAACCACTTAATCACTTCTTTTCTTACCACCTCTTTCATGATTGGATTGAGTCGGCGTTGTTTCTCTATATTGGGCTTGTGTCCGTCCTCCATGAGGATTTTGTGCATGCAAAAGGCTGGACTAATGCCCTTAATGTCAGACATCGTCCACCCAAGTGCTCGTTTGTGCTCACGTAGCACTCTCAACAGCTTTTCTTCCTGCAATTTAGACAAGTCAAAAGAAACAATGATGGGTAAAGTGTCAGAGTCACCCAAATAAGCATATTGCAGGTGAGGTGGAAGAGGTTTAAGCTCTAATTTTGGGGCTTTCTCAATTAACGGCTTTTGAGGAGGTCCTTCTGGCCTATTCAAAGGCTCAAAGGGGTGTATCCTTTGCATGTACGCACAAGATGTATCAAGGATGTGCATCATCTCCTCAACCTCCTCATCAGTCCCCAAGCTATCAAGCAACATAAGTGCTTTCTCTAGAGAATCATCTAGATATACACTCGGATCATGAATCTGCTCATTAGCCTCAACAATAGATATCATTGAGAGCTCCTCATAGTGGCGGGGAAGTTGGATTGCTTTGTAGACATTAAAAACTGCTTCCTCGTCATCTACCCTCAAAATCATCTTTCCCTCTCTCACTTTGATAATTGCATCACCAGTAGCTAAGAGAGGTCACCCTAATATGATTGGAACCAGTTCATCAACCTCATAATCGAGGATAATGAAATCAGCAGGGAAGATGAATTTCCCAATCTGCATCAACACATCTTCAATCACCCCTTCAAGTTGTGCTATCGATCTATCAGCCAGCTGCAACATCACAGTAGTGGGCCTTAGAGCTCCCAGGACCAATTGCTTGAACAAAGATAGGGGCATCAGATTTATGCTCGCCCCCAAATCGCAAAGAGCATGACCCACATCAATATAACCAATGCGCACAGGAATCGTGAAGCTGACAGGATCCTTAAGCTTTTGAGGGAGCTTATTTTGGACTCTTGAAGTACACTCCTCATAAGTGCCACTGTCTCAAATTCAGTTAATCTTCTCTTGTGAGCCACTATATCTTTTATATACTTAGCATACTTTGGAATTTCATGAAGCACATCAACAAGTGGGATATTCAAATGAACCTGGCTCAACATAGAGAGAAATTTTCTGAACATGCGATCATCATTCTTTTTCTACAATCTCTAGGGGAAAGGTGGTGGTGGCCTTGGGGCCTCCACTGGCTCTGGAATTTCAGCAGCATTCTTTGGCTTGTGAATCACTTTAGGGATCAACTCTCCCTCACGTATGGGCTTGTCTTTCTTTTTCTTTGGCACTTCCTCTAGCTCCCTCCTGTTTCTAAATGTAACTGCATTAACTTTAGGGTTCTTTTCTGTATCACTAGGGAGAGCGCCTACAGGTCTAGTGTTTTGATTTGTTGCTAA